GAGCCGCACCCGCCGGTGGGGCTCCTCGTCGGCGCCTGCCGGGCGGAGGGGAGGGCCGGGGGGGGCTCGATCGGGGCACCCGCCCGCCGCAGAGGGAGGGCCGGGCCGGCCGCTGCGCCGGCACCGAGGAAGGAGGAGAGCCATGCGGCCGCCGCCTCGCCGAGGTCGACGGCTCGCAGGCCGGTGTCGGACCAGACGCGCACGCGCAGCTCGGACTGCGGGTGCGGCGGTCGCAGCGGCACGGCGAGAAGCGGCTTCCCCGGCGCCGAGAGGCGCACTACCTCTGCGCTGAGCTCGGCCCTCACCAGGCAGAGCCGCGGCTCCTGCCGCTGCGTGACAAAGGAGTGGTTGCCGCCGAGCGGCTCGGCACTCACGACCATCAGCCGCCGGTCGTCCACGAAGCCCAGCCGGTCGAGCGACGCCGCGTCCAGCTGCACCGGCGCGCACGACTTGACGGGGTGAATGTAGAGCGCCGCCACTTCAGCGCGAGACTCCGGCTCGTCCGCGGCCGGCTTGCGGCGGCGGAGCAGAAGGAGCAGCAGAGCGCCGCCGGCGACGGCAGCGACGACCGCCTCGTTGGCGGCGGGGACGGACTGCGAGAGGCCCATACACAGCTCTCGAAAAGGGGCAGAGCGCGCGAACGGAGCTGGAGGAAAGAAAGCGAAGCCGAAGGCCACTCGTCCCTTGGCATGAAGGTTGCAGCGAGAATCGGCGAGAGACTGCGAAGAGAGATAGGAAGAGGCAGACTCCCTAGGGTGGGCGACGGATAGCGCACCACACACCTCTCCTTAAAATCCCTGTGTGGTGGCGGCGTGCCGTCCTCCCATCCCTCCCTTGGGTTGTCTGTTTTCTTTCTTTCTTTCTTTGGGTTGTCCGTTTTCTTTCTTTCTTTAGCGACGAGTGTGGGGACTACATGATCCTACGTGAAGGGTGGAGGGGCCCGAGGGCCCGTCCGCGCAGAGCTAGGCGGCGCGGGCACCCCCCACTGGGGCCGAGGACAAGAAAGAGGCCGTCCGTTTGCCGCTTGCTTGTTCTTGATCCAGTTGCGAGTTGGCGCGCACAGTGCGCGCTTTCTTGTTGATTGATGTTTTCGGCGTCGCCCGCCACCGCCGCCATGGAGATCTGCTGCGTGACAAAACAATCTCTCCAAGTGTGTGTCGCAGGAGGTGAGGTACGAGGACTCTCACGAGGACCAGTAGCTCGACCTGTATCGAGAAGCTTCACCTATTATCACTCTCTCTCCCCCCCCCCCAGAGTGATGAATAGTCCACCTTATCCCTATATCCCTAGATTCCCACACCCTATGCAGTGGCACGTCTTGCCACCTGGACCCCTAATATTAGCATCTTGGGCGCCGAATAGGCGCCCAAATATTGGCGCGTAATAGTTTCCCGACTGCTTTCGCTGTTCGGCGCGCGCTGCGAGACAGTCGACTCCTTCGTTGTGCAATGGCCACAAGAGCGGCCGCACATTGCTCGGTACCCCCCCTGCCCTTCTAAAGTCATGGCCGACCCCCCCCCCCCCCCCCAGCAGCAGCGCTCTGCTGCTGGGGGGGTCGGGACCCCCCCCCCAGCAGCAGCGCTCTGCCTGTGGGGGGTGCTGGCATCTCTGTACAGACAGCAGCTGTAAGTAAGTACGGTTAGCGTTCCAGTGGCGAGAATTTATGGTCGCAGTGGTCTCACCGGCGTACCCTCCTACTGCCAGCCGGGCGCGGGGCACGCCAGTCTCTCTTCTTCTCCTCTCGTGCCTCGCGGCGCCTCTGCTTCAAGGTACAAGGAGTATTGCTCTCGCAGCCCATAGCCATACGCCATGGCACAGCGGAGAGTACTACGATTCAGTCGATCGATTTCGACGAGCGAGCGATCCGAGGATCGAGCGGGGGACCGATAGGCTAGGGAGATCAACGCTGATCGATCAACGTCAGCCGAGACGCCCGAGTGAGTGGCTCACTATACGGCTTTTAGTGTGGTAGTACAAGATAGACTCACATGGTCACATCTCACAAGTCTTTAGTAAAACGCCAGCACTCGACACGACGAAGGTGTATTGGGCTCGAAGGCGCGGTGAACACAACCGACCGCCTCGAGCGTACCGCTAAAACACGAGCCGAGGTGGGAGGGGGCGGCTGCGGCGAAGAGGCGGGAGAGCTGGGTCCAATGCCTTCTGCTGCTGGGGGGGTCGGGACCCCCCCCCCAGCAGCAGAGCGCTGCTGCTGGGGGGGGGGTCCCGACCCCCCCAGCAGCAGAAGGCATTGGACCCAGCTCTCCCGCCTCTTCGCCGCAGCCGCCCCCTCCCACCTCGGCTCGTGTTTTAGCGGTACGCTCGAGGCGGTCGGTTGTGTTCACCGCGCCTTCGAGCCCAATACACCTTCGTCGTGTCGAGTGCTGGCGTTTTACTAAAGACTTGTGAGATGTGACCATGTGAGTCTATCTTGTACTACCACACTAAAAGCCGTATAGTGAGCCACTCACTCGGGCGTCTCGGCTGACGTTGATCGATCAGCGTTGATCTCCCTAGCCTATCGGTCCCCCGCTCGATCCTCACGGCATGGTGGCT